TTTCCTTTCTTCTGCTCACTTTGGGTTTAGTTAGTTCTTCTTTTTCTAGGTCTATCCTGGAAAATGTCCAATGTGCACTGAAGAATGTGTATTCTGTTGTTGTTGTGTAGGGTGTTCTGTATGTCTGTTAGATCTAGTTGGTTTATTGTGTTTTTGAAGTCTTCTGTTTACTCATCTTCTCTCTGATGGTTCTATAAATTATTGAGAGTGGGGTACTGAAGTCTGCAACTATAACTGTAGAATTATCTATTTCTCCATTCATTTCTGTTAGTTTTTGCTTCATATATTTTGATGGTGTGTGACTAGATGAGTAAATACTTATAATTGGTTTTTTGTTTGTTTTTTTGGCAGCTGGCCAGTATAGGGATTCCTTCACTTTGGTGTTATAACACCATGCCCTAAACTGAGCTAACCAACCAGCCCTATAATTGTTATATCTTCTTGCTGTGATGAACCATTTATCAAGGTACAGTGTCCTTTCTAATCTCTTATAACCTTTTTTTTCTTAAAAGATATTTTGTCTGATCAGTATAATCACCCTTGCTCTCTTCTGGTTATTATTTGCATGGTATATACTTTTCCATCCTTTCACTTTCAACATACTTGTGTCTTTGTATCTAAAGTGAGCCTCTTGTAGGGAGCACACAGTTGGATCATGTGTTTTCATCCATTCTACTAATATTTGTCTTTTAATTGGAGAGTTGAATTTATTTACATTTAAAGTAATTACTGATAAGAAGGGACTTATTCTGTCATTTGCTATTTTTTTCATATGCCTTATAGCTTTTTTTACCCCTCATTTCCTGAATTACTGTCCTCTTGTGTGTTTAGTTATTTCTTGTAGTACAACATTTGAATTTCTTTCTCATTTCCATTTGTGTATATTCCATAGCTATTATTTTTGTGTGGTTACTAAGAGGATTACATTTAACATTCTAACATTGTAACACTCTATTTGAATTTATACCAGCACTTCAATATCGTATAAAAACTCTACTCCTTTACAGTTGTCCCCACCCTTTTCAGTTGTCACAAAATTACTTCTTTATACATCGTGCACCCTGCAACATAAATAATTCCTTTAAATGCATTAGCCTCTTAAATTATAAAGAAAACAAAATGTGGAGTTAAGTTACAATACTAGCTTTTAGACTATCAGTTTTTTTTAAAAAACATGCCTGTTAAGTCACATAGAAAACAAAAAGTTGAATTATAAACCATTGCTACAATATTAGCTTTTACAATTGTCCCTGTATTTATCTTTACTGGGATACTTATTTCTTCATATGGCTTTGTGTTCTACTGTCCTTTCATTTCAACCTGCAGGACTCCCTAGAGCATATTTTACAGGGCAGGTATAGTGGTAACAATCCTCAGCTTTTGTTTATCTTTGAATGTCTTAATTTCTCCCTCATTTTTGAAAGACTGTTTTGCTAGATGTAGGCTTCTTCGTTTTTGTTTTTGCTTTTGTTTTCTTTTAGACCCCTGCTTTCTGTCCTCCAAAGTTTCTGATGAGTAATCTCCTGATAATCTTATTGAGGATCTCTTGTATGTGGCGACTGTTTTATCTCTATATCATTTTCTTGACTTTCTCCATGTTTTCCTTTAGTTCTTTGATCATCTTTAAGACAGTTGTCTTAAAGTCTTCGTCTGGTAGATCAAGTCATTCTCAGGGACAGTTTCTATGGCTTATTTTTTTTCCTTTGAATTGGCAATACTTTCCTATTTCTTTGCATACCTTGTGATTTTGTTGTTGTTGTTGAAAACTGGACCTCTGACTCTAATAATGTCTAACTCTGGAAATCAGATCCTCCACATTTCCCATGATCTGCTGGGTTTTATTTCTTTCGTTGTTTTAGGCTGTGTCTGTGCCACAAATCAGCCTAAGGTGTAAACTTAAGATCTTCTCAGGTCTTTTCTGAGTTTGCACCTCCCCACAGTATGCATGATAACTTTCTGATTTTTCTCATACTTATATATGCAGTAGCTTTTGAATGTCCTAGTCTTCAATGTCTGGCTCCCAAAAGGGGAAAAAAGAGAAAACTGAAGGAGGGAAAATGGCACCAGCCCTTTAAATCTCCTGGAAGTCACTTCAGCCAGAGGGGAAAGAGCTTGTAACAAAGTGGGGAGGTGTAGCAACAATGGCCACTGCCTCTTTGTCTACACCTCTGTGATCAGAAGCAGCAGCCAGCAATCAGAGAACAAATTCTTGCTATTTGAAGGACAGGGTCTTTTTGCCCTCTCTGGCTCCCACAAGCTGTGTGCATATTGTTCCAGGAACATGTGCACAGCTGCCTGCCATGGGACTGAGGGGTAGCTGCTACTGTACTAAGAGGTGAAATTGACCAAAATTAAGTGCAATTTACCATCCAAGCCCTGGAAGTTGAAAGCCTTGGATAGACTCCAGAGGTCCAAAAATAGTTACGTCTGACAGACTGCCAGTGCAGCTGCTGTATGGGCGGGGAAACAGATTTCTGGAGCTTCCTACTCCTCCATTTTCCCAGAACCCTCTCCCTGTTCTCCCCTTTTTGAAGTCATAGAATCTTCAGTTTTGTCTGGACATATGCATGCCCAGAATAAAAATTACATATCCCAGCCTCCCTTGCAACTACCTATGTCTGGATGACCAAATTCTGGCCAGTAGGATGTAAGTGGAAGTAGTGGTACAAATTTAGAATGTCCTTAAAAGGTGTCCTTCTCTATTCCAACTTTATGTTGAATGTATATCAGGTACCTGGAGTTTGGGCACACATTTTGGACTATGAAGAAGACACATGCTGATACCAGAGAAACAAGGAACCTGGGCTCCTAACATCATGGAGTGCCACACCAGACCTGGACTAACTGTATTTAAGCTCCTTTTAAATGAGAGAGAAATAAATTTCTATTTTGTTTAACAAGTATTCTTTTGGTGATTTCTATTATGAACAGTTGAACCTAATCCTAATTAAGGTATTGAACATATGTATTTCCTAGCCCAGGACACAAATTATTTTTTAAAAATCAAGAAATAGCTTTGTTGTGATGTCTTTTCATTCATCTACTCACTGAACGAACATCCAAGAGGGCAGTAATTGGAGTTCAGACACCCTAACAGAATTCACAACGGAGAGATGACATTATTAGACATGTGGAGGAGGACTGTTACAGCCACTTTGGTTGCCATAACAAAATATCTCAAACTGGGTGGTTCATAAACAAAAATTTATTTCTCACAATTCTGGATACTAGGAAGTCCAAGGTCAAGGTGCCAGCAGATTCAGCATCTGGTGAGGGCCCATTTTGTGGTTCACAGATGGCACCCTCTCGTTGTGTCCTCACATGGTGGGAGGAGCAGATGAGCTCCACTGGGCCTCTTTTATAAAGACACTAATCCCATTCATGAGGGCTCTTCCCTTATTACCTAATCATCTCCTGAAAGGCCCACCTCATAATACCATCACCTTGAGGGGTTGAATTTAAACATATTCATTTTGAGGAGACACAAACGTTCAGAACACAGCAGTGATCCTGGAGTGATCCCAACTATAGATGCCTCAACCATAAAGAAACCATAAAGTGATAACCAAAAGATGTGAGAAACCATAAAGTGATAATCAAAAGATGTTAACTTAAAATAAGGTTTGAGATCTTCGGGAATTACAAAATTCTGATAGGGTCACTACCTGAAATCAGGTGATTTTCTTTTTCCTCTTTTTAAGTTTTCTAGTATAACTTAAGATGCTGCTACAGAACCTGAGCAAGTTATTTTCTTGGAGACTATTAGCTTAACTAATACTGTTTATCCCATAAGGTCCAGTTTTCTATGCCACCAATTTAAATCCAAACTTACTAGGGCCCATAATAATATACAGTCCTGGAGGCTTAACAACAGCAAGAAAAACTTTATAATGCAATAGTTAAGAGCATAAGCACTGCAGTCAGACATATCTAGGTTGGTGTCTACAACTTTCACATGTGGGACCTTGGAAAAACTAAATAACCCTTCTAATCCCTATCTAAGGATAATGGATACATAGATTTAATCATATAAAGTGCTTGGCACAGTGCCTGGCACATAACTGTCACTCAGCAAATGGGAAGAGTTATCACAAGATTCCCAGTATCCATAAGAATGTGTGTGGCTCAGAAGGACCTCCAGAGGTAATCTATTGTATCTCCTTTAGGTGTCTAGGTTTTGCCAGCTCACCTATAACATGGAGTCACATTAACAATATCCACTATGTTCTTCTGGCCTTTAACTTTCCAGTTAATATGAAAACTCCACGACTGCCAACTGCCCTCGCCATTCATTCACTTTTGCAAATTCTCCACTCCATAAACAAGTCCTTACCTTCCAGGTGATGTCCATATCATTCCTTCCTCTGGCCTCTTTGGTGACTTTTGTAGCTAAGGGCTCCACTGCCTTCTCAGGTGCATTGAGATTCCTCTCCACTACCTTTACATTTTCCTTAAAATGTTTTTTTGTTGTTATTTTTCACTTTACAAAAAGAGTTTCATGCTGTATGTAATCTTTTGGAACTTAATTTTTTCACCTAATTTTGTGCTAAGACTCATGCATATTGTTGCATGTCACTGTAGCTCATTTGTTTTGGCTACTGTACCACATCATCCACTCTTCTGATGGGCACGTAGGTAGTTTTCAGGTTTTTGTTACCGTGAAACAACTACAACATATATTCTTGCTCATATTTCCTGTTGTACACATATAAATTTCTCTTAGCATATACCCTGCAGTGGTACTGCTGGATCGTACTGTGTGGATGTTACGTGTTTCTTAATGTACTATAGCTTTTATATACACTTTTTATGATTTTCTGTTCCTACTTCATCTTCCCTTGTCTTTTTTGAGAATATTTATTATGCTTATTTTAAATTCTTCATCTGCTCATTCTAATTCTGCTTCAGAAATGTTATGTATGCATTTAAAGGCCTGGAATAACATCTATGTGTAGCAGTCATCTTTGAAGGATTGAGATTATGAAAAAAAAAATCAGTTCAACTGTCCTGGACAGCATTTCATTTTATTTTATTATGTAATATGTAGAAAGCCTTGACTGAGAAAAAATAGAGATTTATCAGAAACTGGAGAATTTTCTTAGGAAAGCGATGTTTGCTGAAGGCTACTTTTGTTCCAGCCATGATGTGCAT